TGACCGCAGCTGCATGGGAGGGGCCGGAGGGGCCTCGGGGGTGACCTGGAGGATCTGGCCAGAGTGGACACTGGGGACATGGCCAGTGGCCACGGGGCCACCAACCCAGCAGGACCCGCTGACCCAGCTGGAGCCACATCCCTGTGTTCATCCCTGTGTCCGTCCTGTGTCCATCCCTGTGTCCATCCCTGTGTCCAGTCCCTGTGTCCGTCCCTGTGTCCATCCCTGTGTTCATCCCTGTGTCCGTCCTGTGTCCATCCTTGTGTCCATCCCTGTGTCCATCCCTGTGTCCGTCCCTGTGTCCACTCCTCGCACACTGGGGGTCACTGCCCCCCTGTCCCCTCCCCTGGTGACACCCCTGCCCCCCTGTCCCCCCCGCGGTGACACCTCCCTGTCCCCGGCCAGCCCTAATTAGCCGGGGACATTCCCGGCATAGCTGCAGCCCCTAATGAGGCTCCATAAAGCGGCCCCGGCTCCTGGGGCTGCTCGTAAAATCCCCCCTTAAATTCCCCCTTCAAATCCTCCCCCATTAAAAATCCCCCCTTAAATTCCCCCCTTGAAATCCCCCATAAAATCCTCCTCTGTAAAAATCCCCCATTAAAAATCCTCCTTAAAAATCCCATTAAAATCCTTCCCTAAAATCCCCCATTAAAAATTAAAAATCCCCCCTAAAAATCCCCTTTAAAAATCTCCTTTTACAACCGGGGGCTGGGCTGGGACCCTGAGTGTCCCCAGCCCTGTCCCGAGTGTCCCCAGCCCTGTCCCAGCTGTCCCCAGCCCTGTCCCAGCTGTCCCTAACCCTGTCCCGTGTCCCCAACCCTGTCCCAGCTGTCCCCAGCCCTGTCCCGTGTCCCCAACCCTGTCCCGAGTGCCCCCAGCCCTGTCCCAGCTGTCCCCAGCTCTGTCCCGAGTGTCCCCAGCCCTGTCCCAGCTGTCCCCAGCCCTGTCCTCAATGTCCCCAGCCCTGTCCCAACTGTCCCCAGCCCTGTCCCAGCTGTCCCTAACCCTGTCCCAAAGGTCCCCAGCCCTGTCCCGAGTGCCCCCAGCCCTGTCCCAGCTGTCCCTAACCCTGTCCCGTGTCCCCAACCCTGTCCCAGCTGTCCCCAGCCCTGTCCCGGGTGTCCCCAGCCCTGTCCCGAGTGCCCCTAGCCCTGTCCCAGCTGTCCCCATCCCTCCCCCAGCCCTGTCCCAGCTGTCCCCATGGCAATGTCCCCATGCCCGGTGTCCCCAAGGACCAGGGCTCAGCAGTGGGGCGTTGTCCCCGTGCCAGCCTGGGGGGTGTCCCCTGTCCCTCGGGGCTGTCCCCAGTGTCACCCCCAAGGTCCCCTCTGGAACCTTCCAGAGCCCAAATCCTTCCCACACCACCTCGAGGTGACAAAGGTGACAACGGGGACATGGCCACCCCCAGAGCGCCGGGGGTGGAGCTGAACTCTCAGATTATTTCTCTATTTTTAAAAAAAACATTTTACATTTTTTTGGAATTTTTTTTTTATTCTTTCTTTTTATATTTTTGCTGTTCAAGTGCTGAGTTCGGCCCCGCCCCCCCCTCCC